AGAGCAGGCAATGCTCTTAACCGCTGAGCCATCTCTCCAGCCCCTCAATAATTTTTTTTTTAAGGAACTTTTGGTAATAGCTATAGAAGGAGCCAATAATGCACAATCTTATCTGCCCAGGGCTAACAGTTTAGGTTGTATCCTCTGGTATGTACATTAGCACATATGCTCATATATACGTGTTAGTACTCAGAGCTTGTATTTACTGTAAACAGAACTGGGTAGAATCATAGTTTCCCAGATGTCAGTCCCAGAGCTCTTTGCATGAGAATCTCTTATTTTGGAAAGGTGATCTTTTTTTTGGAAATGGCAGTTCTGAAAAGCTTCCATCCTCGAAAGTCCAACTCAGCAGTGAGTGGAGATGCTGATATATCGTCAGGCCTAGGGGCCTAGGGTGCTGCTCGGGGGGGGGGGGTGGCTTTCTTGTCCCTTCGTGTTCTCTCCTTCAGGACTTAACTTGGACTGGAGGACTAAGTGGTTGCTTTCTCTCGGCAGATAAAGAGAGGGATCAAAGCATCTGATAAAGCCGCCCTGCTGGCCTTCGATGCCCTGGTGACCTTCTGTGAAGAACTGGGGTGAGTAGGGCTGGGGATGTGGTATGGCCCAGTGGTAGAGCATTTGTGTAGCAGGTGCAGGGCCCTGGGCAAACCCCTGCATTGCCTCCCTGCTCCTCGAACCATTACTGTACCAGCTAATGCAAGCCATCCTTTAGGCCACCGAGCGTCCCCTACTTGCAAAGCTCATATTTCAAGCAATGTGGAAGTTAGTGTTAAGAATATTTTTTAACAGGAGTTCTCTGCTGACATAAAAATCCTAATCAAATCAAATCAGACCAAATTAAAAGATATCCAGGTTTAATTGGGTTCCTGTGCTCTTGGGTGGCCCCAAGGGGAACTGGACAGCCACAACAAGGAGTGGGGGGAGCGACCACATGTTTTTTGGGGGGGAGCAGGTTAAATAGACAGGGGGAGTAGTCTTGACCTTTTCTGGGAAGGAGTCAAGGTTTGATGGGCTACCTTGACCCTCCTCCAAGAGAGGTCAAGGTGCAAGGGGCACAGGGGTGGGACCTCCAAAGATGGAGACCAGAGACTTGATTTACAGTCAGGACCCTTCCTTTTTACTTCTGGAGGCCATGAACTCGAGCTCTCATGTGTGAGGATTTGTTCCACACTGGGGTTGTCATCCACTCCTCTGCCTACTTTGTGGATGGTTGACTGGCTCCATGAGTGATGTGGCCGGCTCTTGCCGCTGAGCTGGCTCTACTGACTGGGTGTGAGTCACTCCTGCTGCTTTACTTGCTTCTGATGGGGTCACACCAGCTTGCCCTGTTTCAGAGGCTGGCCTTTGACTCCTGGTTATCCCGACTGCCTCCTCCTCTCAAGTGTTTGGATTGTAGGCGTGTGTCACACACCTGGTGAGCTGTTCTCTCGCAGCCCCCGACAGAAGCTTTGGGCCCACTCATAGCTGATGGTAGCAGTGGGGGGTGTCACATGCTTTGGATAAGTCAGCTCTTCTGACAGGATACCAGCCAACCTGTGTGGAACCTGCTTACCTATAGTGGCAATGGGACGGGCGAGCTATGGGCCAGCCACGGAAAGGGACTTAGCTGCTCAATGGCAACTCGTGACCGGGCATGTAGTCAGTAGAATCCTATGTGAACGATGCCCAAGAAGAGTCAGTCTGTGGAAAAATCCATTCCTTCATCTGTGTGCAAATTGGAGCACTGATGGACTGAAGTGATTGCCTCAGACTTGAGTAAGCCAAGCCCCAGACAGGCCGTGGTCACAAAACTCATGATAGAAGCTACTGTCCTTGGGCTCCTTGAGGATCACAGTGCATGTGTTTGTCTCCTGCATGGGTCCTAGTCTCTGGGGGACGAGGGATGGCTGCTTCTGTGGTGTTCAGGATTGAACCCAGGAACTTGTGCATGTTATATGAGCCCTCTACCCATAAGCTCCTCTCCTAGCCCAGATACTGTCGTCTCGAAGCAGAGTGCTGCCACTTAAGTACGTGGTACTAGTGTCTCCTGGGGAGGGGAGGGGGTGCGCTTATTTGGGTTCTACATTTGGATTCTCAGTCTCCCTCCTCACTGGGGAGTTGGTGATACCGATTGAAGTATTTCCTTCTGGAAATGGCGTCTCTAATTTAGCCTCTGTGGCAGGATCACATGCAAAAAAGTGGCGGGTTGCTGTGCCAGGCCCACCGTTGGCTAAGGCCATACCACCAGAGCCCTTTGCTGCCCCTGGTACATGAGCGTGCTAAATTCACCTCCTTGGGCTGTTTCCACGCTAATTGTCAGTCTCCTCTGCTCCTCTGGGACTGCAGTGCTATGGCCTGCCGGGCAGTGGAACAGGTCTACACGGACCACTGCCTTTCTTCCTCCTGAGGCTTCTCCGTGCCTTGATAGGCCAGTTGGGAATGTACATCTATCTGTGGGGCCAAGAGGCCCATGCCCACCCCACCAAACCCCCATGGTTCGGTCTCACACCTCCTATCTTGTTGGCTCCTGAGGTTCTGGATCTCAGGACTCCTAGTCTCAGGTCTCAGGGAGAGTAAACCTTGCTGGCAGAGCTGTCAGCCGCTGCTCTTTAGGAAGAGACCGCTTGCTGTGTGAACAGAATCTGGCATGAAGGGAGAAAGCTCCTTTCAACAGGTGTTTGTTCCTTTTCTAATATTAGTTCTGGTTTGAGGCTGAAGTTGAGGTGTCTGTTCCCACCAGCCTCCCTTATGGCAGGCCCCTGGCAGTGAGGGGTAAGACCGGTGGGGTGGGCTCAGCTGTGTGGGTACGCAGCTAAAGGAAGCGGTTGTAAGGTTGGGGTGTGTAGGGTGGGATATGGTGGCCAGGGCGGGGCTTCCAGTGGTTTTTCTCTTGTCTCTGCCATGCAGCCATTTCTCAGAGCTGCAGCCGCAAAGCAGCGTGGCTCCCAGCAGGGCTTGAAATAGCAGTCTGGGCATTTTGGAGCGGAGAGGAGCTTTCCCTTTGTTCTGGGTAGAATTGTCTTGTGGGTCTCTGGACTATGGAGCTCGACTACTCAGCATCATCCAGGGGATCTGTCTGTGTGCTTCTTTGCTCTTTGCTTCTGCCAAGCCTTGTCTCATTGGGAAACACAATATTTAAAATTATATAATTGCTCATGAATGGGCTTTTGAAGAAAAAAGTACATGTTGGCTTTGTTTTGTTTTTCTTTTTTAAAATTGTGTGTATGAGTGTTCTCCGTGTGTGCCTGGTGCCCACAGAGGCCAGAAGAGGGGCATTGGTTTCCCTGGAACTGGAGTTACAGATAATTGTGAGCCACCACATGGGTGCTAGGGATCGAACCCCTGTCCTCTGCAGGAGCTGCTTAACAGTTAAGGTGCCCTTAACTGCTGAGCCAGCTCCCTAACCCTGTAAAGTGTTCTGAGAGTAACAGTGTTCCCCATCTGTCCCCATCTCTGGGGTCAGAGACAGGGAGCATTTGAGAGACACAGGTTTAGGCTGAGATGTGAAAGACAAGGAAGCGCTATACAGGCCACGGAGGGTGACGTGGTAGCCCAGTCAGGGGGAATGCATGCAAAAGTCAGAGTTTAGGAACTGAAGTTACCTTGTGAACCTAGGGGCCCGAGCAGCTTGTAAGAGCGATTCTGTTGCCTACAGGGCAGACCCCTGAGGTCTTGCAGCCCTTACTGTGGTTTGCTAGAGGGGCTAGAACCATGTCTGCATAGAAGATGAGCTCACGTTAGTGGATTTGAAAAGAAATTTTTACTTCATCTGATATTTTGTGTCCTTCTCTGTGAAGGACTTGTAAAATTGCCGCCTGGACAGGGACACTTATTAGAAGACCTTGTGAGCCTTTGCTGTTGTCTCCTGAGGTGGAACAGAGACCCTCTCCATGCGCGCAGTGTTCAGCTGGTAGCTGGGTGTGCGAGCTGGAAATGGTATCAGACCAGCCTTCCCATCCCGCTAATGGACCAATCCCAAAGCCAGACCCAGTGATTAGATTCTGAGCCCGAGGTACTGGAGGGCTCCCGCTGGTGTGGGCTGTCCCCTGCTGCCCTCTGAAGGCTCCAGAAGTCACTTCAGTCCTCCTCACATGCGGTACTTTCCACACACCCGTACACAATGGCGAATATGATGAAGAAGAGGAATGTGGCGATGAACAGGCCAATCACTACCAGGCCCCCCATGTCCCACGAGTTATTCCAGAATTCGTCATTCTGCGGGTCCTTGGGGATCACCATTTCGCCCGTGTAAATCTGGAAGAGGGGACAGAGGCCCTGAGTGCAGAGAGCTCAGAAAAACTGGATACATCTGGCTAGCCAACACTGAGGGCTCTCCCGCTTGGAAGATCTGGGGATAGCCTCAGGAATCTCTGGTTCATTTCTGACCAACTCGGTTATGAGCCAGGATGCCTCGCCCACCACTGAGGCCTCCTAGCTAGAACCTAAAATGGACCTCTGTGGATCGCCCCCTATTTTTATTGTCCCATTTGCCAGATGTTTGGGAGGCATTTTGAGAGAGGTGTAGCAACCCCACTGGCATTGATGGCGCACTTAAGTCTCAGCTCCTCAGAAGGCTGAATTCCTGCTTGAGCCCAAGAATTCCAAGCCAACAGGGAACAACAAAATCCTGTCTTTAAAAAAAAAAAAAAAAAAAAGTGGAACTGGAGACTGGAGAGATGTCTGCTCAGAAGTTAAGAACACTGATCACTCTTGCAGAGGACCCAAATTCAGTTCCCAGCACCCATGTGGCAGCTCACAATAGCATCCATAATGCCAGCTCCAGGGCACCAAACACCGTTTTTAGCTTCTGAGGGTACCAGGAATGCATGTGTGGACGTATATACATGTAGGAAGAACACACACACATCAATCTTTAAAAAGGGTGGTGGTGGTAGATAGGAAAAGAGGGTGGTTGAGGCAGTGTCTGGAGACTGCTGGAAGCAGGAGGCCTAGGCATACCGGTGTCAGTAGGCTGCAGCCAGCTGAAAAAAGTATAGGGGGAAAAGAAACGCCATTACCTGGTTCTTCTGCTAAAAGCCTGTGTCTTATGAGGGCAAAGGAAGGTCACGATTGTCCTTCGGGCTTTACACTCTGGGGTTCCTGGGTGGAAGCGGCTGCCAGGTGACCACAGCTATTCAGCAACTCAAAGAAATGACTGTTGGCAGCCCAGAGCATTGCCAAATGGCTCTGACCACACCTTGGCTGCTGCCACCAGAGCAAACAAAGGTGGGCTAGATTGGTTGCCTGGCAACTGCCACTCCCTCCCTCGGTTCCTCAGCAGTGTTCTGTCCTTTTGTGATGGCGTCTCTTGGAGATGCTCGGGACACTTTGTAAATTGTCCTTGAGAGAAGTCAGACTTGGGGGAGGGTGACAATGTAGATTGTGTCTGTGCTACAGGTCACCTGTCCACCTCGCCTGTGTGCACCAGGTGTTAGTTCTCCGTCTCAGTGACCTCTTGGAGCTTACTTGGGAAGGCGTTCTTTCCTGTGGGGTGGGAGAATGGTTAGCCGCAGCTCTGGTAGGAGCCTCCCAGAACCATTTCTGGGTGGGAGTGCTTGCCACCCTTAGTCTTTTTCTCTTGTGCCTGTCTCGGGCATGGCCTCAACTGTTTCATGTGGCTGGTTCCTCCTACCCCTTGGTTAGAGAGAAAACTGGGAGGAAGGGATTGATCATACATGCCCTGCTTGAAACTTGATGGCCACTGTTGACTCCTTTAAAGCTTAGATGTGTGGGCCTGGCTGTGCCAGGCTTTGCATCCTATCATAAGAGAGGCTGTTCCCTCCAGCGAGGCTCATATCGTAGCCCACAGGGCTGTAGAGTTTTGAGAAATACCCACGTACATCAGTTTCTAGAATCCCGGGTATCTGGTGTTCTAATCCTCTCAGGGCGTCTCTTCAGATACAGCCTGGAGTGGTTGACAGGCGATGAGCAAACTCAGGAAAGCATTCTCGACTGACCCATGGCTCACCTGCTGCTTTCCATTTCTTCGTGTAAAACTTGCTGACCTCCTGGCTTGCCAAATGCACACAGCTGGCAGGCTGGTCTCTGGCACACCCTGGTACTTGTATGAGCCTATCAGTGAAATCAGGTTCTTATCAAGAGTCAGTTGTTTGTTCCCAAACTGGTTTGTAGGTGTTGTGCTTGCTCCTGTGACTACAAAATTGAGTGTGACATTGTATAAACAAATGAAACAATGATTGCCACAACTCCAGTCTTACAGACAGACGACAGACACACAGACTAAGCAACTTATTCAAGGCTGTGCAGTTGGAGTTTGAAGCCAGCTCTCAGGCCCTATACCTTAGAGCAGACAAAGCTGTTGTCTCTATTAATGCCTATGTGGCCACTTTGATATCATTCCATATTCCCATCAAAAGAAGCACAAACAACTAAACTTTGGGCATATTTTGTAAGACTCATAACAAAAATTTTAATACATTTTGTGTATGTGCATGTGTGTGGAGTTTAGCAGACAACTTGTTGGGAATAGGTTAACTGTGGCTTCCAGGGAACTGAATTCAGGTCCTCAGGTGGTGGCAAGTAACTTTACCCACTGAACCATCTTGCTGGCCCCTCTGTAGTGACATTTTACACTTGGTGTGTTCACACTCTTGTTCTAATGAAATCAGAACTACAAAGTAGGGCTAGAGCCGAGCTGGTGCACAGCCATCCTCAGAGACCGAGCCCCACCCAAGAGGTGTGCCTGTCTGTCCCACCTCTGTAGGCTGGAGGACAGTTCAGAAGTGGCAGCGCTTGTTGCTCTTCCAGAAGACCTTGGTTCAGTGCCCAGCACTCAGGTCAGGTGACCATGACCGCCTGTAATCGTAGTTTCAGGCCATCCAACACCTTTTTCTGGCCTTCGAAGACACCAAACATTCACACACATATATAATAAATAAAAAAAAAATCTTTAAAAAATACAAAAGAAGCCAGGCAGTGATGGCACACACCTCCCAGCACTCAGGAGGCAGAGACAGGTAGATCTTTAAGTTTGAGGCCAGCTGGGTCTACAAAGTGAGTTCCAGGATAGCCAGGGCTACACAAGAGAAACCCTGTTTCAAAAAACCAAAAACTAAAAACAAACCCCTGCTGGGCATGGTGGCACATACCTTTAATTCTAGCACTTGAGGGGTAGAGGCAGGTGGGTCTTTTGAGTTTGAGACCTGCATGGTCTACATAGTGAATACCAGGCCCCCAGAAATATATAGTGAGACCCTGTCTCAAAACAGATATGTAGAGGGAATGTCATTCGTAAGAAAGTTGCTTTGTCTGGTTTTAGTTAATTAACTGCTGTATCCAAGTAGGTAGATCTGTTGTCTCAGTCACTGTGAGGGAGATAGATGAGAACAGGAGAGGGTGCTGCAGGCACACTGGTCTGCACTGAGGGTTTCTGTGAGGAAATGGCGGGAGTTGTAAAGACTTGAGCACTAGCTACTTTTCCAGAGGACCCAGGTTCGATTCCCAGCCCCACATGGTGGCTCGAAACCATCTGTAACCCCAGTTCCAGAAGATCTGATGCCCTCTTCTGGGCTCCTCAGATAAGAGGCATGCATGTGGTCCACTTACATGTAGACAAACACACATGCATATAAAAACAAACAAATCCTTTTTTCCCCCTGAGACAGGGTTTCTCTGTAGTTTTGGAGCCTGTCCTGGAACTAGGTCTTGTAGAGGTTGGCCTCGAACTCACAAAGATCCCCCTGCCTCTGCCTCCCAAGTGCTGGGATTAAAGGTGTGTGCCACCACCGCCCAGCACAAACAAATCTTTAAAAAAAAAAAAGAGAGTTAGGGACAGCATTCCCTGTCATGGAGCAGGGTGCAAAGAAGTGGAAAACATTTTTAGAACAAAATTAATTTGTGCACATATTTTATGATATGAAATTTGTAGTGTCACGTTTCACAAAACTTGTGTGTGCTCTGCCAGCGTTGCTGACGTGATTCTCACCTTGATTTTTAGTTTGTAACAAGGCAGAAAATTCAGGCAGTGAACCAGGCGGCTCCTCATCCTTCTGAGGGACTGAGATCAGACACTGGTAGAGCAGAGGCCATGTGGGAGGGAGGGCCATGAGGAAGCTGGTGAGGCCTGCGGTAGCCTCCGTGCACCACGATGGCTTGTTCTTGCCTGGCATAGGGCAGTTACATCAGTGGGACCTTCCCTAAGCTTGAAGTAGTCCGCCCTGTGCTGCTGCTCTGGTCTGACAGCTCAGATCTGCAGTGACCTTTCTGTTTCCCACACCTGCTTCCTCCCCAGTGAAGGTGGCCTAGGTCTGCCATCCCAGCGTGTGCCAGGCTGCAGTTGGTTAGCTTATAGGATGGACTGACCTAGCATAGGGTAGGAAGGTGCAAGCGAACTGGCTACTTAGGCTATGTCCAGGGTTGTCCATGGTACCTTCTACTCTGGAGCTGAACTAGGTGTCCAGGATTGTTCATGGTACCCTCAGCTAGACTAGGAACCAGAATCTTTTCTAGCAAAAAAGGGTCCTCAACCTTAGCCTTCCTACAGGAAGATTATTCCTGATGCTAATGAAATCCTGCTTAAAGAAGATTCTGGAAGGAACCGGGCTGCTGTTCCTGAACTGAGGGCTTCGAGGGACCTCCTGTGAGGTGCTGGAGTGAGAAATGCAGGTTTCTACTCCTTCCACTATCCCCGGGCTTCTCTTCAGATAGCTGGGTGTGGGCTTTCCACCCACTCCACAGAAGCAATCTTGAGACAGAGTTTGGGTGTGGGTGCGTGGATGTAGGGTTGGCTAATGGAGATAATGGGGTCAACACTTCTGCCTTGTGTCCCAGAGGCCTCAAGCCTTAGGTGTGGTGAGCAGGGAATTGGAGCCAGACAGGCTGGACCCAGAGCTGGCTTTGCCACATTTTAGCTGGCTGCACCAAGGCTGATCTCTGTCCTCTGTCAACCAGGATAATAAAGGACTGAAGCATCACGAAGGTTAAGTGAATTTATCTGCAACAGAATGCTCAGGACAAAAGTGGGGTGTGGTGGGCCATGCCTGCAATCCCAGCACTCCAGAGGCAGAGGACAGCCCCGAGCTAGGTGCATACTGACTTCTAGCCAGAGCCACTTAGTGAGATTGTTTTAAAAAAGAGAAGATTTTAAAAAAAAAAAAAAAAAAAAAAGCCCCAAGCAAGTGAGGCACATTACATGTAATCCTCACACTTAAGAGGCTAAGGCAGGGGCGCGGTGAATTGGAACCTAGCTTAAGACAACTTCTAGGTCTGGGTTGTGCTTCAGGGGCAGAGCACTTGCCTAGTGCAGTCTTCTGGGCTTCATTCCCAGCACCATTACATTGTTTATAAGATTTATGTGTTTATTATGTACACAGTGTTCTGTCTGCACATATGCCTGCAGGCCAGAAGAGGGCACCAGATCTCATTACAGATGGTTGTGAGTCACCACGTGGTTGCTGGGAATTGAACTCGGGACCTCTGGAAGACCAGCCAGTGCTCTTAAACACTGAGCCATCTTTCTAGCCTCCCTCATTAAAATTTTTTTAAAGGCAACACAGCATGGCCTAGTCCTCTGGATTTTAACTGTCTTTATTAGCATCATTCAGGTTTTCTTGTTTTTTTGGTATTTTTTGTTTTGTTTTTGTTTTTGATAAAGTTTTTTGTTGTTGTTGTACATTTGTTGTTGTTTTTAACAAGCAGTGATTGGTGCTTTGCCTGCATCTATTTCTGTGTGAGGGTGTCAGATTTCCTGTACCTGGAGTAACAGACAGTAAGCTGCCAAGTAGATGCTGAGAATTGAACCCAGGTGCTCATAACTGATGAGCCATCTCTCCAGCCCCAAGAAGGGGTTTTAAGTAGCCCTGGCCGACCTGGAACTCACAGAGGTCCACCTGCTTCTGCCTCTCAGAGTGCTGGGATCAAAGACGTGTTTGACTCTGAATTCCAATTTTAGGGGCTGAGGACAGGTGGTTTCTTAGATTTCTTTTTCTTTGTTTGGAAACACCTCCTTTCTTGGTTTCAATAACCCAAACCTGTCAGGCAAGTCTGTGGCTACCAGGTAGTCAAACCAGCTAGCAAGAATTCCTGTGGCCTTCCTGCCTGTATGGCCTAGGCTGCCAGCTGGAGGTGGCAGGGGCTGACTTCCCTTACTGTGACCTGTTTTCAAGGCAGGCTGAACTCTGCTCCCAGGCAAGCAGAATGTGTGCTGCACAGACTTAGGTGACAGAAGTGGGAGCAATTGGAGCCAGTCCTGGCCCTGTTCCATGTATGGAGACTTACGTGTCTGCCCCTCCGCACGTTTCGTGTTTTGGTTTGTAGCTGTGTGTCTAGAAGACAGTGACCCGCAGGGAGGGCGGCATGGCGGCATTTCAGCAGCACCCTTCTTTAACGTGGGTCCACTGTGCTCTGGGCTAGCCCGTTCAGAGGGGCGAATAATGGCAGTTGGTAATTCCGGAGCTTCTGAAGCATGTCTAGCACTGGGCTAGTCTTGGGCTGTCTGCTTTACACTCCTGGCATACCGCGGGAAGCAGGTGCCAGGGTTAGTCCATCTCACCAGAAGGAAGCCTAGGGGATTGTCAGCTGGGTTGTGAGCGCTCAGATAGGGACAGGGCCGAAGGGTCGGGGTACAACAGCCTGAAGAGATGTGGGAGGACCCAGTGACCTGGAGGTGCTAGTGTGGGGGACACAGACAGCAGGAAATATTCGTGGCATTCCTGGGCTCAGCGCCTGTCCTAGGGCATCGGCCGCCATCACTCAACAGAGTGGGACTCTGGAAGCAGCCCTGTTAGAAAGCAATGTTGCCTTCCTGTGTGATTTCCCAGCCTTCGTGGGCACACCAAGGGCAGTAGCCTGGAAAGAAAGTCAGTCATTGGCCGTGCCCCTAGAGCTCTGATGCTGTCCTGATGCAGAGCCACCTGCGCATAAATATACATAGCCAAACACCTCGTAAACACGGAACCAAAAAAGCTTTACTTGGCAGTAAGCAAATTTCAGCTAGAATACTGACCTGTTCCCTCCCCTTCAGACGGAGGCTTAGAGTTTAGTAAATTGCACAAAGTCCCTGATCAGTTTACTTCTCTTTGGCATAAATCAGCAGAGCCCAAGGGCCAGCCTCCCCACAACCATGAGCTGTTCAAAATATGGGGCTCCTCAAAAGTACAGCAGAAGTCCTCAGCGTTTTCCTGGGCTTTCGAAACAGTTGACTCCTCTAAGCGCTGGTGTCCATCGGCAGGTTGAGCAACACTTGTTTCCTTGATAAGTCTCCAGATGTCTACCCTGTCTGTCACCTGGACAGTGCCAGAACTCAGTGCCAGAAGTGGCCAGGATGATAGTCTGTGTCACAGTTTGGGAAGGCTTCTGTCCAGCTTCTCCTGGGTCATCACACTGCTGTCCCTCATCTGGGTTTTATGGGTTGCACGAGGATCTTCGTGCGTCTCCTGTCGGGGCAGCAGCAGCGCACACAGCAGCAGCTGCAGGCCAGCAGCATCAGCAGCAGGACCGTAGCTAAAGGGAGAGGATGGTCCAGGGCTGAAGAGCTAGGGGAGGAAGGGATGCCCACCCTCCCTCCAAAGAACCTGCCCCCCGCCCCCCAGTCTGGAGCAGTGGTCACAAAGACCAGAGTGGCTGACAGGGTCCTGTCTGTCTCTTGCTTCACTGCCCAAGCCTGACTCCTTTCAGTTCGTGGTTGATACCCGGTGGTATCCAGCACTGCCTAGCAACTCCCTTAGCTTTCCCTGGGACACCGCTTTCCCTACTTCCCAACCTTCCAGCCAGCACCATGGCGTGGTCTCCCAATTATCAGGAAGAGCCCATAGGACACAGAAGGGACAGGGCTAAAGGGCCAGAGGCCAGGTGCCCAACTTGCCTGTGAAAAGAAGGATGATAGAGAAGGCCACCAGCTCCACGGGATCAGCCTGGGGCAGTCCTTGCAGCTTCAGCAGCAGCCTCTCACCCACAGAGCGAATCTCCTCCTTAAAGTCTGTGGCTGCCATGTTGCTAGGGCTCCTGTGTTCTGTAACAACAGACAGAGCACCGTAGAGTCCCTGTGGAACTGCTCACGAGCTGGGAGGTAGCTCCAGGGAAGCAGCCTCTCCCACCATAGCCTGCAGAACAGGTTTGTCAGTCTCAGCCCTGCACCTCTGGTGGATCCCAGGCAGAGGGAGACAGGCAGTCAGGGAACTCTGCTCAATGGTAGGGTAGCCCTCAGCCCACACTTGGTGGGAGCTGCCCAGGGCCAGTGCAGCTTGTGACAGATGTGACCCAGAGAGCCTTTGAGAGGCCACCAGATGGCCGCAGCCGATGACGGTTCACCTGCCCATTCATATGGGGCTCGGCTCTTGCATTCCTTTGTCTTGAGACACAAATAGCAGGTTTGACTGGGGTGCCCCAGCTGACACAGCTCCCCGGCCAGCCTCTGGGTCACTCAGCATTTTGGTACCTCCCCAAGATGGCCTTAGGGTTGCAAGACAGGCCTCAGCATTCTGTGTGGGAGGGGAATCAGACTCCAGGAACAGGTTTATGGGGACTGTAGCTGGATCAGCTATAGGCAAAAACTGAGGGAGGGGTTGTCCCTTGAAGGATATGATGCTGAGTCCCTGAGGACTCTCCTCTGCTACCAAGCCACTTTCTTTACTCTTAAGAAGGGGTCACACAGTATTCCCTAGGGCTATCATTCAGATGGGAACAGGAGTTCTAGGACTAGGTCAGCCAGCTCTTCCCCTCCTGGAGTGCTGGGCCTGTTCTAACCAGAAAAGGCCTGACTGGAGTCAGGCTGGCCACGGCTTCCAGAGAGGGCCTGGACAAAGCTCTGGGCTGAGTTCCTTGGTGGAGCCTTTGAGCTTCAGCTCTTGTGAGTGAGAAGGAACTGGGACAGCCTTGTGCCAAAGCATCCAAACTGGTTCTTCCTGAGGGATGGGGGTAGGGGACCAGGCGCTTGTGTCTTTGTTGGTTGCCATGTTGGCCCTGTGTCAACCGGGCAGGTCCCCTCCTGTGGTCTGTGAGACTGGTCACTTCCAGCATTCCTCCCTGCACACAGCAGGCCTAAACTCCCTTGAAGGTCATGGGACAGGGTCATCCTACGTGCAGGCCCTCTGCCCTTGTGCTGCGCAGTCTCTGCCTAAGTCTCTGAGAATGAGAGGCCCTGGCTGCCCTCAGCTGCCCATCGTAGGAGGCCAAGCCCTGGCTGGCTGCCCTTCTTCCCCTAACAGTTCTTCAGGACCTAGATCACAGCTGCCAGCCGCTGGGTTTCCTCTCTGTGAAGCACGTGGTGCCTTCTCTGAGTTTGTTCACGTTTTGTCATTTTTGTGCTCCTGGGGAATGGGCTCCAGGGCAAGTCCTGTACCACAGAGCTGCATCCCCAGCCTGTGGCGCCTTCTCTAACCTCATACGCCCTTTATAGAAATGGTTTTTTATTTGCTTGCTTTTCGAGACAAGGTTTCTTTGTGTAGCAGCCCTGGCTGTTCTGGAACTTGCTCTGTAGACCAGGCTGGCCTCAAACTAAGAGATCCTCCTGCCTCCACCTCCCAAAGGCATCTGTCACCACCTTGCTATTTACCCCTCCCCCTCTTGTGCGATGGACCGGCTCTTTATCTCTGTTGTTGAGGTGAGAGGCCTTTGGGAGGGACCTGGCTTTGGGAACTTTCTCTGGGTGGGGACTGACGGGCCAGGGAAGTCAAGGATGGACCCAGCCCATGCACCACCTACTTACTACCCATGCACTGTTTATGGAGGCCCATTTCAGCTGAGCCCCTGAGTCACGAACTATAGCTCTTTAGAAACCCGTGAGCTGTGCACACTCAATACCACCCCTTATGAGCCAGGGGCATCAATTTTATCAGTTCCTCACCACCACAGTGGGGCACTCCAGACTTTTTGAGAACTGCACTGTTATCTGTCACTAAATGAGTAGATCTGTGTGTCCTGCTGATGAACATAAGAACATTCCTTCTGGTCAGGCCAAAGGCGCTGCAGCTAGGGCGTGCTTGCAAAAGTGATCCATCCACTCTCCTGTCCGGGACCTCTGCAGCATTCCCACCCAACAGAAGTGGTATGCATTTGGTTCAGAACCCGGGCTGCTGCTTCTCACTCTCCCTCTTCATCTGAGTTTGGGCTGGCTTGTTCAGCCTGGCTGGCACTGTGCCCACATTGCCTCACGAGCCCAATGGAGACACTCCTTAAAAGCAGAAGCGGGCAGGAGGTTGGTGGTCAGGAGAGCTTTCTGTGTACCACACCCAAAGACCTAGAGAGAGACTCAGGGATTAGGGGGGGATAAGGCACCTGCTTGGCAGGGTTGTCAGGGTTGGGACCATAGGTCTAGCTGGAAGGTCTCAATGTCCAGTTTCCAGTGGCTCAGGGTTGGACCTGCTGCACAGGGAGGTCAGAATTTGTTGGTCTAAAGTTCCAGCTAGCAGAGTTACTCCCAGCTTCTCTCTCCTTCTCTCACTCTTCCCTGTACTCTGCTTGGCTTGCGAAGTTGGAGAACTGCAGACTCCTGCCCGCTACAGCTGAGCTCTGCTCTGCTAGAACACCTCGTATGGACAGCCACGTAGCTGTGCCTAGGCCTTCCATAGGCAGCCTACTGGGGACTAGGTGGGACCTGTCCACCATGCCATGGGGGCTGCCTGCCAGGTCTTGCCTTTTACCAGCAGAAGTGGGGCTGCTAGGTATGGCTATCTGCCCTCAAAGGGCCGAAGAGGAACTCTTTGCTTGGCAGTTGATAATTTTGTTATTTTAAGCTCTGACCAACAGAACAAGCACATGACAGGGGAAGGGGGGCAAAGGGGTCTTGTTCTCCAAAGAGGAAAGAGGCGCATTCCGGCAGCTCCCCAGGCGTCTTCCCAGTTGGCTATTTAAAGCAGGGCCAACAGATGCCTGGTGCCCAATATAACCAATGGTTATTAGGTAACCTTGTTCCCCAGCTGTGGTCAGGGGGAGTGGGAGCCCTGGGGCTGGCCCTGTTGACTGGATAACCCCCTAAGTTAACAGAGCAGAGCTACTGGTAGTTGTGTGTTTCCTGGACTTTCTATCCCAGGTTTACCCACTTCTTTCTCAACCATATGTTTCAATCAAGAACATGGGGACTAGAGAGAGTCTCTTAATGCCGTCTTCAGTAGAGGAAGTGGTAGCTTCCCCTGGAGAAGCTACCCCTGGGTCCACCTGTTGCCCAGGCTGCCTGATAGCATTTGGAATCTTTGGAGGATGCTCCCGGCTGGGTTACAGCCAATGGTCAGGGAGAGCTAGCACAGCAGAAGGAAACTGGCCGGGCTGGGGGACTGACTAGCATTCCTTGTATGACAGGTGGCTTTGAGGTTCTTGCTGTAGAGTAAGCGACTGTCCTGTAGGCCAGACAACTGCAGCTTGGTTGGTCCCGCAGTTTCTCCACTTCCTCATTGTAAACCTGATAGTTAGCCCCAGCTGCCATGTGCACAGGGCTGGCAGTGTGTCTGTGCCTGATAAGCAGGGTCATTTGTCACTGATGGCTCGCAGCCCCAAAGGGCATCTTGTACACTGTCGTTTTGTCATGGTGGGTCCTGCAGCATATCGTCGTGTTTGAGAAGCATCCTGAATGAGGTATAACCAGTAGATGTGCGAGAGAGATCTGAGGGTTCCAGCGGCCTGACCAGCAGGGCGGAGATGTCCACTGTGTGCCATGCTGAGTGTCTGAGCGACTCCATCTCTGTGGGGCTTCAGTTTGAAATCAGAAATGGGTGGTCCTGCTGCCCTGGCCCCCGAGCTTCCCAGAACAGGGGGAGCTCTGGTGGCCGGTAGAACAGGGGGAGCTCTGGTGGCCGGTAGAACGGGGGAACTCTGGTGGCCGGTAGAACAGGGGGAACTCTGGTGGCCGGTAGAACGGGGGGAACTCTGGTGGCCGGTAGAACGGGGGGAACTCTGGTGGCCGGTAGAACGGGGGTAGCTCTGGTGGCCGGTAGAACGGGGGTAGCTCTGGTGGCCGGTAGAAATTAAGCGAGCTCCTCAATCTGCATTCGTAAGTCTGGGCTTCCCTTTTGACTCAGGGACTACAGAAGCTAGGGTTTTGTGGGTACCGGTCACCCTCCTGCCTCTGGGGTCCAGTAGCTAACAGCTCACTGCCATGCCCCCTTCACCTTTCCTGATGTGCTGTCCCCATTGTGACTTTAGTCCCCTCCGTGCTCCACTTCTCACGAGTACCATGGGAGTTAGGTTCCCAGCCCTGCACAGGCCAAAGCCCACTCCCTCGGCTGAGCCTAGAAACTGGGCCTTCTCCTTGCCTTCCAAACCTGGATGATGTTTTCCTTTCTACTGGATAAGAGCTTGTTTGCTTTGGGAGGAACATCTCTGGGGGACTTGAACCCTGGTGTGAGGACAGAAGGCAGGAGGGTGAGCAGCTTCCCTGCCCAGGAAGGCTGTGCTTGTGCCGTCCAAAGAACGTCCCAGGGTCGCCATTCCAGTGGTGCGGCATGGAGCAGAACCCTGGGTCATCCCCAGCCTCATCCGTGCAGTCACCATCTCCCCTCAGCCATGGGTTTAGAATCAGGCGTGCGTGTCTCATATTCGGTTTTTAGAGATCATGGCCAAAGGAGGACCCAGGGGATCCCCGGAACCTAAGTGGGTACGGAGACTCCTCCCTGGACTAATCCTGAGCCGGAAATGTAGCAATGAGCAGGTCAGAGCCCCAGAAGACGAGGAGACTGCTGCTCTCGTCTGGACCCTAAGTAGGCAGTTCTGCTCCAGGTTCGTCTCCGTCCTGGGGCTGGGGCCTGTGAGCCAGCTAGGCAACCTTGTCCTGAACAGGGAGAGCTCAGTCCTTGGGGGAATGGAGGCTCAGTGGGTATGTAGGCCTATTTTAAGCTCACTGAATAGAAAAGACTTGATGTGTCAAGTCAGCAGCCCCCAGCTCCCTGCTATCCACGGTAAGTGGCAGGACACCCCATCCGCTAGTGCTCTGACCCAAAGAAAGAAAGAGCTCAGGTGTGTATACAGGAGGTGACTTAGTTCCCAGTATCCCGGTGGCCCAATGTATCCCCCCAAATGTTCCTCTCTGAGCTCATGGTAAGTTGTGGGAGATACGAGACGCTGACTGCCCATTCCCTCCTCTTCTGCACCCTGTTACCTCTGGCCTGTGTCACTTACCTGGGAGCTCAGATATCGAGGAGCCAAGAAGAGGTACCCAAGAAGAGAGCCGTTATGTGCTTCCTCTCAGTCCTTTGCCGCCACCTTTGGCCACCTTTGCCGGCTTCACCAGCGCTGTGCTTTCCTGCCAGTGGCTCTCACTCAGACACCTCTTACAGGAGCTCTTGGCTGCTGACAGCCAGCTGCTGTCCAGCTTAGGCTTTTTTGTTATTGGTTGCCCTGGAGAGCTAGGTGTCATATTACCATTGTGAGGCAGAGCCAGAGGAGCCCTGCCCAGGAGGTCCACTCTACTCTCAGGATCCCCAAAACGACTCCCTCACTTACTCCTCCCCTGCTCTGTCCTGCCCCGCCCCCGAGGGCTGGGCTAATAAGTGGTTGGCTGTGGTTCCCTGTGGAAATAACCTCAGGGGGCTCAGTCTGAGGTTGCTGGGGGAAGAGAAGGGAGTACCTCCCTCTTGAGCACCCCACCACCCTCTGGATGACCTTTTTGGCTTGTGTTCCTGACCACCCCAGTCTGTCTCTTGGGCCACTCCCTAGCTGCTCCCTCTGGCCTCTCCCAGGAAGAAAAACAGAAGCTATGGGGCCACCCAAGCAAGCCAGCAAGCTTTGCACTCGCCATCTGGTGGGGCACTTCTGCTGCTCAGTACCCAGAGGCATCTTGCTGGAAATCTGAGGATCCTAAATACCTTAAAAGTAGCCTGCTTGTTTTGAGGAGAGGCTTGTTTTGATGAAAGGCCTAACAGAAAGGACAGTGGGACAGTATTGGTCTCATTCTGCCTAGCTGGCTCCACACAGTAACGATTGACTGTCGTGCACCCAGCAGGCCAGGCTGCAGGGGAGAAACTGACCTCAGCCCTGCAGTCAATGGAGGCCTTTGAATCCGAGCACAGAACCCCAGTGAGTCAGAGCTGGGGGGCAGGGTGTCAGCCACCGTATGGCCACAGCACCAGAGACAGGACAGGCCACCTCTGTACAGCAACAGTCTTGAGCAGAGGGAAGGAACGGTTGCCATATATTCAGTGTTAGTGGAGCTGCAGGAGCGCCCAGTCCAGTGGCTGCCTCTGCTGGCCCCTTCCTGCTGCTTTTGTCACTTGGCTTCGGGGACCCTGCTGCTTCTTTCTTATTTTTATTTTTTTAAAGATTTATTTATTGAGCCGGGCGGTGGTGGCCCAGCCCTCGGGAGGCAGAGGCAGGCGGATCTCTGTGAGTTCGAGGCCAGCCTGGTCTAGAAGAGCTAGTTCCAGGACAGGAACCAAAAAGCTACAGAGAAACCCTGTCTCGAAAAAAAATTTTAAAAAAATTATTTATTATGTGTACAGTGTACTGCCTGCATGTATGCCTGCAGTCCAGAAGAGAACACCAGACCTCATTACAGATGGTTGTGAGGCACCTTGTGGTTGCTGGGAATTAAGCTCAAAACCTCTGGAAAAGCAGTCTTAACTTCTGAGCCATCTCTCCAGCCCCCAAGGGACCCTGCTTCTTTAGGGGCTTGTGTTCCAACTGGCTGCTCTCTGGGGTCAGATCCCCAGACAGTACTCAAACTAAGATGAACTCTGTTAGAGGCAATTTTTGCCAGCTCTTCTTGTCTTTAGACTGGGCACTCAGACAGCCCTGCCTCTGGTGTCTTTCTCTCTGCTTCCTCAACCTCGTACCACACCCCTACCAGTAGACTGTCTGGTAAGGACCCTAGAACAGTGGCCGGCCACTCCCAGGGCCTCAGCCTGGGGTCAGAAAACAGACCGAACTTCTTGCGCCAGGCAGAATGGTTATCCCAAGGGGAACATCTGGGAGTAGGTGAGAGGGGACGCTCTAGTGAGGCTGTGTCTCCCTGCCTGGCTGGGTTCAACAGTGACTAGGCATGATAACCGCTCTCAGAACTGCTGTCTCTAGGACAGTGGTTCTCAACCTTCTGAACACTGAGACCCTTTAATACTTGTGGTGACCCCAACCATAAAATTATTTTCATTGCTGCTTCATAACTGCAATGTTGCTACTTTCATGAATCAAAATGTAAATATCTGTTTCTGATGGTCTTAGGTGACCCCTCTGAAAAGTTCACTGAAGCCCCAAAGGGATTGCGACCCATGGGTTGAGAACTGCCGCTCTGGGAGCCGTGCCAGGGGCAGCCCTTGGCCTGGAGCAAAAGGGCTCATGGTAGGGGGGCCAGGGGGAGCTAGAGATCTCTAAGGAAGGATCAAGACATGCTCAGGCCTGCGACCCCAGGACTGGGGAATCTGAAGCGTGTGTTCAAGGCCACCCTGAGCTATAGTGAGACCCCAGCTTAAGAAACAACAACAACAGAAAAACACCAGTGTGGCTGCAAACACCTTTAATCCTAGCACTTGGGGGGCAGAGGCAGACAGATCTCTGTGAGTTTGGAGCCGCCCCAGTCTACATAGTGAGTCCTGGGCAAGTCTTGGCTACATAGTGAGACCCTGCCTCTAAATAACGGAAGAAAAAGAGCCAAGCAGACAGAGCACTTGGATGGGGTGGCCCTTTCCTGCCCTTCCCTCCTTCCCCACAGTGAGGACTATCCCTGTAGAGCATGCCAGCAGTGCTCACAGCCTGTGAGACCACCCGCCATGCTCCGCTGTGCCACTGCGCCCCAGCAGCGTAAGTGGAGAGGCCCTGGGATTCAAGGGTGAAATGTTTTCTCACTGACATAGTCTTGGTGGCAGAGCCAGTGTCTGTGCCAGAGCCTCAGCTCACCAGGGCATTCCAGCACTGCGGGGAGAGGGAAGAGCAGGGTCCCAGAGCTCATAGAACAGAATGAGGTTCACATCCCGACCCCCAGTCACCCAGTGCATGACTATAGGAAGGCTGCTTTATCTCACTGGCCCAACTCTGCACTGGGCAGCCCCAGGTGATGCTCCACAAGCCCCTGTAAATAAAAGAGTACAGAACAGGGACTGGAGAGGTGGCTCAGAGGTTAAGAGCATATACTGTATTTGCAGAGGACCCTGGTTCAGTTCTCAGCACCCCCTGCCCTGCAGGCTCACAACCCATTTGGAACAAGTCCTGACATCAGGTACTAGGGGTCACTGATACACATAGAACAAATCCAGGAAGGGCTTTGAAAGATAGGAAGCATCAAGAGTGGTGCTAGATAGTGAATCAGAGTTTGGAGACTGGGCGGACATCATTGCTTGCTTCAGCTCCCATCCCAAGCACTGCTCACTGTAGGTGCCGCCATGCTGCCATTGCTAAGTACTTCGGGGATGCACCTCCTGCCTGCGTCGAAGGCTGTGACCACTGCCAGAGTCCTGCGGCTTTAAGGGAGAAGCTTGATGCCCTGGAGCGCAGCAGCAGCTGGAGCAAGACCTGCATCAGGCCCTTGCAGGAGGACGACTTCGACCCTGAGCTGTATGAGGGAGGCCGCAGAGGCTACGGGGGCTTCAGCAGGTGAGAACAGAGAAATGCATCCGCTGGCCCTAGCCAGACCAAGGTCGCATTCTGCAGCGTGGTGTGGTACTCTTCCTGGGGCCTGGGCTTTAATGCTGTGCCAGAAGATCGGGGAAGAGCAGAGCCCCGACCCTTTCTGCTCACACCTTGCCTGTCCTCTAGGTATGATGAAGGTTCTGGAGGGAGCGGTGATGAGGGCAGAGATGAGGCCCAAAAGCGGCAATGGAATCTTTTCTATCAGAAGCAGATGAGCCTGCGCAAGGTAAAGGTGACAGAGACCGTGACAGGGCTCAGTGGCTCTGTTAGTTTCCAGTGCTGTGACCAAAACCAAGTTGGGAAGCAAGGGGTTTATTTGGCTGACACTTTCCGCATCACCGTCCAGCATCAGGGGAAGTCAGGGCAGGAGCTCGGGTCAGGATCCTGGAGGTAGAATGGAAGCAGGGACCATGGGGGAGTGCCACTCTCTTGTTTAGCTTGTACAGCCCAGGACCACTGGCCCGGGAATAGCAAAACCCATAGTAATCTGGGCTGTCCCACATCAAGTAAGAAAATGCCTCCCCAGACCAGTCTGCTAGAGGCCATTCCTCAATTGAGGTTCCCTCTTCCAGATGACTCTAGTTTCTGTCAAGTAAACAAGAAAAAAAAAAAAAAAACCTAAGCCAGCATAATGGCTCATGGCTTTGATCCTAGCACTTGGGAGGAAGAGGCAGGCGGATCTGAGACAAGACCAGGGACGACATAGTGAACCCTGTCTCCAAAGTATCTTTCCTACCCCCTAAAAAATAACCAGCACACAGTGGTCCATGCAAGGCCCTGGATGGTCCCCTGTTCGCCACCTCAGTAGGAGTTGCCCTGCAGCAGGGCAGGATGTCTCATGGTCCCTCATGCTGTCTGTCTTCCAGGGCAAAGAGCCCAAGATAGAAGAATTCACACCCCCAGGTTGGTACAAAAATGCCCCCAGGGGCTTGGGTACTGTGTCTGGTTGTGAACAGTGGGTCGCTCAGTGAGGGTTGGGGGCCTCCAGAGAGCTGGTCAAGTGGAAAGCCCTTTCTGCCTTTCCTCAGATGAAGACTGTCCCCTGAGAGAGGCTTCAAGCAGGAAGATCCCTAAGCTCACAGTGAAGGTACGAGAAGGACGCCTCTTCACTTTCTCTCAGGGCCCCTCCCTGACCCTGAGGGTGGGTGACCAAGACCTCACTCTCCTCATAGGCCCGTGAGCACTGCCTGCAACTTCTGGAGGAGGCGCTGAGCAGTAATCACCAGGCCGCAGGGTCCCCTGACGGGTGAGTGTCCAAGAGCTCCAGGGGGAGGACAAGGCTTGTTCCTTCAGAGAATGCCTCTCCGCAGGTTGTGATCCATCCCACTCCATGGCTCCCAGTCCCTGCAGCCTTACCAGAGACTGCCAAAGGCCACACTGAAGGACAGTGAGCCGAGGGGTACTTAGAGAAGCCTGCTCAGAATCCACATGCTCATCCTCACCAGGCCCTGAGGCTAGCCCATGGTTTCTGAAGAGAAACCAAAACCAGGAGGACCGCAGGAGAGGACTCAGGCCTGCCTGTTGTCTTGCTCTCATTCCTTCCCACAGAGCTGACCTGCGGGCCAAGGCTGTGGAGCTGGAGTATGGGGCATTCCGAAACACCAAGATGGTCAACCTGTACAAGGCCAGCGTTCTGAAGAAGGTAGGCTTGGGCCAAGGAGGTCAGCAGGCAGTGCATGCTCGTAGTCTGAGGACAGGGCAAGGCCGCCTCTCCTGTTCAGAAGCTACCTGCCAGCCGCTGGCCTGGAGCCCCTGACAGTGGTGAAGCTCCTGGCCTACCTGGAGGTGTTGCGGCCATCCCAGTGGGAGCTGCACTTCCCTAGCGTCCACTCCACTTAATGCACAGCAGGGTTGGGGCGTCTGGACTGGGGCTAAGCAGTAGCTTGTGGGTGCCTTGATCTCCCTGCCTGTCTTTAGGTGGCTGAGATCCACAAGGCCTCCAAGGATGGTCATCTCTATGACATGGACGGTGATACCAAGAGCTGCAGTGCTGGGGCTGAGCCCGCGGAGCCCAACGACTACGACATCCCACCAACCTCCCATGTCTACTCGGTGAGCAGCGTCCAGGTTCCTAGGGCAGCTCCACTTCTGCTTCGCCCTCCGTGCCCGACCCAGATGTCAGAAAGGCCAGAGAGGATCTCTGTATTTGTCTGTCGGTCGTGGCCTCTTCTCCCATCAGCCTGACCCCCACCTGAGTCCTGTTCAGCTCTCTCTTCCTACATTCCTGAGAGCCTCTTGCCATAGCCACAGCTGTTTGTGGGGAGGTCTGGGTCCTGAGCCTTCTGACTTCTTCCTTTTTCTCCTCACAGCTCAAACCCAAGAGAGTAGGAGCTGGCTTCCGCAAAGGCTCCTGCCCATTCCAGACAGCCACAGAACTGTTGGGGAAGTCTCAGATCCAGAAGCAAGCCTCTGAGGCTGTGCTGGAAGGTGAACAGGATCCCCCAGGCTGGGACTGTGACCTTCAAGATGAAGACAGGAATGAGCCCCTCCCTGGGTACCAAGGAGAGGCTCCTGGAAGTAGTGCTAACTGTGGGGAGCCCTCGCCCGAGAAGAGGACAAAAGGCAGTGCCAAGGCTAGAGCCAGCAAGAAACAGCAGCTCCTAGCTGCAGCGGCCCTCAAGGATTCCCAGAACATCACCCGATTCTTCTGTCAAAGAACAGAAAGCCCGCCTTTACCTGCTTCAGTCCCTTCCTGTGGGGGTATGCCAGAGGACTGCGCAGAAGCTGGAGTCCAGGGGCATTTGAATACCCTAGGACAGACTGAGAGTCCCAGGGAGGGACCAAGGTAAGAGTTCCGTGTCCGGGAACCCTCATTCTGTGGCAGCATCTGACCCCTTTGCTGCCTGGGCCTCTGAAGCGTCCAGCTCATTCACGGTGGGCCCTGCTGGGCTGCCTGGATCTAGAGCGCAGCCAAACCCAGACCTCTGATGCTGCTCTTCCCTCCGGCCAGCCTCTGCTCACTCCGAGACCAGAACTGCCCTGAAGGTCAGCCTAGTCCTCTGAAGGAAACTCAGGCAGGCAAGCGGCCCAGACCCCAGCAGGTACTGGAGGAGGTGCGTGGTGAGGAGGAGAGCCGCCTGGGCCAAGGGTTAGGGTCAGGGAAGATCACTTCTCACACCCTAGCAGCAGGTGGGATGGGCTGGGGGAAGGCTCCTGGTGTTGAGGTGCAGACTTCCTTCCAAAAGGGAGGTAGAGTAGCGCCAAAGTGATGTGTCCATGCTGTGACCCTATCCAGGAGAGCTCAGAGAGGACTCAGAAGAAGCTTTGTCCCTCAACACAGTCCTCCGTCTTGGCAGAGGCCAAGGGCAGTGCCCTGGCCAGTGATAGCAGCACCGAGAGTGAAATGGCTCGGGAGCCCTGCCCGCTCTCAGCTCCGGACATCTCCGTGAAGGAAGCTGCCGCTGTGGTGGTCAAATACCTGACCCCCTTCTATAAGGAGGGCAGGTTCATGTCCAAGGTAGGGTGTGTGGGCCTGGAGGATGTGGGTCAAGGCAGGGGGGTTGGGGGTGGCCAGGAATGTGCACCCTGAATGAGGTAGGGCAGAGAAGGCCATTGAGCCAAGGCAGCTTCTGCCCACTCTGGCTCTGCCTTGCCCTTGGCAGTGGTGGCTCCAGGGCTCTGTCCTCCTCTCTTTCCTTCTAGGACTTGTTTAAAGGCTTTGCCCGCCACCTCTCACATTTGCTGGCTCAGAAGGCCTCTCCTGGAAAGAGTGGTGAGTGCCGACCCGGCCAAGGCCAGAAGGCATGGTGGGGGTGGACAACGGCTGCCAGGAGACTGGTCCTTACCTTCTCTCTGTCCTGTCCTGCTATCTGCAGTGAGGGAGGAGGCCCAGACCCTCATCAAGCAGTTTTTCCATGATCGGGACCGGTGTGAGAGTGAAGCTGACTGGCGTGGCCTCTGCACCCCACAAAGATGACCTGCCTCTGCTGACTGAACAGGGTCCGGCAGGCCCGTGCCAGAGGCACCAACTTTCTCAGGGTCCTCCCCTTCGCCCCTCCCCCCAACCAAACCACACTGTAGAGATGTCACTAGACACGCAGTGGAAGGTCAGAGGTTAGCCCATAGTCCTTTCTCTCTGCCTGCTTCTCCTGGCCTTCACGGCCAGGGCCCCACATTAGATGGTTCGATGGAACGGCTGCTGCCAAAGAAAAACAGTGACCTTCCCGTCTTTGTTTCAAGTCCTCTGCCAGGGCGAGGCCATTTCTGCCCTTGAGTGCCTGCCCTCTTACTTGAGATCCCAGGCTCCAGGCCCTGCCCGTCTGCTGCTCAGGATGGCCAGACCCAACTGACATGTTTGCAAGAATAAGAAGAATAAAGTCTGCCCAAGATACACGCTCATGTTCACACACAGTCGTTTTATTTGTGCTGAAGCTGCTTCATCCAGGCCCGGTGCTGGCCCTAGAGCTGAGTGGGCATTTTCCCCAGGCAGGACGTCAGACGCCCAGGCCAAGTTCCTACAGCCCCAGCTCTGGGTTCAGTGCACCTCGGAGGGCATGTGTCTGCTCGCTTCCGCAGTTGATGTCGCTGTGGCAACCTCTGCCTCATGACCCTCACTTGGGGTTGTGCTGCAGGAAATTTCAGGGCAGGGGCCAGGCAGCGAGGATGAGCGAGAACCACCCAACATCCAAGGCAGACTGCTCAGGGAGACTCAGCCGAGGCCTGGCCACTGCGTGGAGGACAGGCTGCCCTCCTCCATCAGGAAGACAATGGTGTGCTTCAGCTCCTGGGCC